ATCTCCAGGCAGGTGTCTCTTTTATTTTGGTGTCATTTCCCTCAGATATCATCTCCAGGCAGGTGTCTCTTTTATTTTGGTGTCATTTCCCTCAGATATCATCTCCAGGCAGGTGTCTCTTTTATTTTGGTGTCATTTCCCCTCACAGATGATCTCCAGGCAGGTCTCTCTTTTATTTTGGTGCCATTTCCCCTCAGAGATGATTCCCAGGATCTCCAGGCAGGTGTCTCTTCTTTTTTCATGGCATTTCCCCTCAGAGATGATCTTCAGGATCTCCAGGCAGGTGTCTCTTTTATTTTGGTGCCATTTCCCTCAGAGATGATCTCCAGGCAGGTGTCTCTTTTATTTTACTGCCATATCCCTCAGATATCATCTCCAGGCAGGTGTCTCTTCTGTTTTAGTGCCATTTCCCCTCACAGATGATCTCCATGCAGGTGTCTCTCTTCTTTTGGTGCCATTTCCCCTCAGAGATGATTCCCAGGATCTCCAGGCAGGTCTCTCTTTTATTTTGGTGTCATTTCCCTCAGATATCATCTCCAGGCAGGTGTCTCTTCTTTTTTAACGGCATTTCCCCTCACAGATGATCTTCAGGATCTCCAGGCAGGTGTCTCTTTTATTTTGGTGCCATTTCTCCTCAGAGATGATCTCCATGCAGGTGTCTCTTTTCTTTTAGGGCCATTTTCCCTCAGAGATGATCTCCATGCAGGTGTCTCTCTTCTTTTGGTGTCATTTCCCTCAGAGATGATCTCCAGGCAGGTGTCTCTTCTGCTTTAGTGCCATTTCTCCTCAGACATCATCTCCAGGATCTCCAGGCAGGTGTCTGTTTTATTTTGGTGTCATTTCCCCTCACAAATGGTTTCCGGGCAGGTGTCTCTTTTATTTTAGAGCCATTTCCCTCAGAGATGATCCCCAGGATCTCCAGGCAGGTGTCTCTTTTATTTTGGTGCCATTTCTCCTCAGACATGATCTCCAGGCAGGTCTCTCTTTTATTTTACTGCCATATCCCTCAGATATCATCTCCAGGCAGGTATCTCTTCTGTTTTAATGGCATTTCCCCTCACAGATCATCTCCAGGATCTCCAGGCAGGTGTCTCTTTTATTTTGGCGCCATTTCTCCTCAGAGATGATCTCCAGGCAGGTGTCTCTTTTATTTTGGTGTCATTTCCCCTCAGAGATGATCTCCAGGCAGGTGTCTCTTTTATTTTGGCGCCATTTCTCCTCAGAGATGATCTCCAGGCAGGTGTCTCTTTTATTTTGGTGTCATTTCCCTCAGATATCATCTCCAGGCAGGTGTCTCTTCTGTTTTAGTGCCATTTCCCCTCAGAGATGATCTCCAGGCAGCTGTCTCTTTTCTTTTAGTGTCATTTCCCTCACAGATGATCTCCATGCAGGTGTCTCTTTTATTTTGGTGCCATTTCCCTCAGATATCATCTCCAGGCAGGTGTCTCTTTTATTTTGGTGCCATTTCCCCTCAGAGATGATTCCCAGGATCTCCAGGCAGGTGTCTCTTTTATTTTGGTGCAGTATCCCTCAGATATCATCTCCAGGCAGGTGTCTCTTCTGCTTTAGTGCCATTTCCCCTCACAGATGATCTCCATGCAGGTGTCTCTTTTATTTTGGTGTCATTTCCCTCACAGATGATCTCCAGGCAGGTGTCTCTTTTATTTTGGTGCCATTTCCCCTCACAGATGATCTCCAGGCAGGTGTGTCTTTTATTTTTGTGCCATTTCCCCTCAGAGATGATTCCCAGGATCTCCAGGCAGGTGTCTCTTCTTTTTTAATGGCATTTCCCCTCACAGATGATCTTCAGGATCTCCAGGCAGGTGTCTCTTTTATTTTGGTGGAATTTTCCTCAGAGATGATCTCCATGCAGGTATCTCTTTTATTTTGGTGTCATTTCCCTCAGACATGATCTCCATGCAGGTGTCTCTTCTTTTTTAGTGCCATTTCTCCTCACAGATCATCTCCAGGATCTCCAGGCANCTTTCAGTGCACACAAGATTTCTGGATCTCCCAGCACTGGTGATGCTGCCCTGGATCTGAAAGCTCCATCAGTCACCAAATTGCTCAGGGTTTTGTCATCCCAAAGGCCTTTCCCAGCTCTTTATGAGGTGCTAAATTCTCTGGGTTCACCCTGGGCCGCTGCATCCTTGCTGGTGGCTCGTGTTCCTGCTGTCTGTGGGAAATGATTTGAAGCTGGGAGGATGAGCTGGGGGGCAGCTTTTTAATTCCTGACATTTTTTATTTTTTTTTAAACTCCTGACACATTTCACAGAGATGTTCTCCTGCCTCAGGACGTGCTCATCCCACAGAAGGGGATGCAGCAAAACCAACCTGGGGCTGCTCCCTCCAGTCTCTGCTTCCCGAATTTGTCACATCTCCAAGGAGCTCAGGGAAGACTGAAGGGATGTTGAAGGTGCAGAAACACCTGGCAAACACCTCCAGAGCTGTGTGTTGGGATGAGGATGAGGATGAGGATGAAGCTCTGCTGCTCCCCTGCAGCCCCTGGTTCTCCCCACACTTCCCCTGACAGAAATGTGACATTTTATATTATATTTATATTTATATATAATATTTATATAATTTATATAAATATATAATATTTATATAATTTATATATATTATATTTATATTTATATTTATATTTATATTTATAATGTGCCATTTTATTTTATATTCAGCTCAAACTCCTGTTCTTTTTGCTGAGTTTGGTGCAATTGGGGCCGAGGGGAGGCAGGAGGAATTCCTTCAAACCTCTGATTCCAGGGATGTGGCTGCCCAGAGAGCCACAGCCATTCTTCTGAGCGTTTCTGCTCTTTCCTTAATCATCTCCAGATTTTCTGCTTGCTGCTGACTTCAAAGCAGGCACTCTTGAGGTGCAGCCTCCCAAAATGATACTGAAAGCTGGTGTCTTCATCCCCCAGGAGGAGCACACAGAGCTCCCAGATTTTTCTCATCCTTTAGAGCTTTTTACCTCTTTTTTTTTCTTTTTTTTCTATGACATTTTTAAACACAGCCTTTGGTCACCCTGCAGATGGGTGTTTTCTAGACTTTTGAGTTTTTCTCCAGGTCCCAGCGTGATCACAGTTGGTTCACAGAGGGATTTATTTCAAGGATTATCAATTCGCTGGGTTATCTTTGGCAGCAGGAAGGGTTTTTTCTGATAGAATTTCAACCCCTGCCTTCTTTCCCCCACCACTCCAAGGTGGATTTTACTTGTCAAGACCACCTTAAAGCTTTCCACCAAATCCTTTGGGTTTGCATTAGGTGTGCTGAGCTTGTCAGTGCTGTGCCTCTCCTCTCCAGCACCACACACCTTCCCAGCTCACTTTGGGCAGAAATCAGCTCTTTGCCAGCCCTCAAGGCAGGATTTGGCACAGAATGGGATTTTAGCCACGGGCACAGAGGTGCCCCAGCCTGAGGCAGGAAGGACAGGCCCTGAGGAAAGCAGGGATGCAGCAGGAGCTTGTCCTGTGTGCAGGTGGAACTCACCTGGTGTGATCTTCACCATCTAAAAAAGGGTGTTTGGGGNCCTTGGCATGGGGAACCCTTCCTACCCAAAGGATCACCCTGGATCCTTTCCCAGCCAAAGGATTGTCCTGGATCCTTTCCTGCCCAAAGGATGATCCTGGATCTTTTCCAACCCAAAGGATCACCCTGGATCTTTTCCTGTCCAAAGGATTGTCCTGGATCCTTTCCTGCCCAAAGGATGATCCTGGATCTTTTCACACCCAGACGATGATCCTGGAACCCTTCCCACCCAAAGGATCATCCTGGATCTTTTCCCACCTAAAGAATCACCCTGGATCTTTTCCCATCCTAAGGATGATCTTGGATAACTTCCCACCCAAAGGATCACCCTGGATCCCTTCCCAAACCATCCCTCAATTCTACAATCAAGGCCAGTGCCCATTTATAATTTTCCAGTTTATCCAGCGTTCTGCCCAGGATCATCACAGCCTCTCTCCACTCCTTTTCTCCCTCATGGTTTTTGCTTCAGCCTGAGATGCAAAAATATCCCCTCTGGGGATTGATGGCCAGCAAAAAAAAATCATTTTTCTGTGGTACTTGAGCTGCTATTCAAAAGGCCACACGCTGTATTTTAACTGAAAGCTTAGCGAAGTAAAAATCAGGAAAATCAGCCACTTACCCAGCAAGTTTTGGCACAGCCACCCGTGCCAGCCCATGGCAAAACCTCCCAAAATTGTGTGATCATTTTAGGGGAGCAAAATTTAGGATTTCCTAGTAAGTGTTTTTTTAGATGAACCCAGTCCCACAGACAAAGCAAGGCTTAGGCACTAGAGGATTTTAAAATATATGTGATAAAACCAAGAACAAGACACCTGGCTGCCTTTTGAGTGCTGCTGAAATGGCTTGCAAAGGAAGAAAAAAAGGCATTAGAAATTTAGGAAAAAAATAAGAATATACCTATTGAAAGGATTTTTGAAAGGGCCTGCACCATCTCACAGGTGTAAGTGGATTTTTGGCCTCAAGCCACACAGCTTGGTGGCTCTTGGGGAAGGTTTTATTGGGGAATTGGGTGG